TAGGTATCCCTCCTTGCATTAAGATATCACTTATTCCCTTCCCTAAGGCATCAATCTCCATAATAAACTCCTTTTCAAAATTTAGCATGGCTAGAACTGGGACAGTGGTCATGGCAACCTTGAGTTCTTCAAAAGCTACTTGAACTTCATTATTCCACATAAAGTTATCCTTTTTGAGTAACTGGGTAAGAGGCCAAGCAATCCTCCCATAATTCCTTACAAACTTTCTGTAAAATCCTGTTAAGCCCAAGAATCCTCTTAACCCTTTTACATTCTGAGGGACAAGCCATTTCAGCATGTCTTCTACCTTCTTAAGATCAGCTGATACACCACTGCCAAATATGATATGTCCCAAGTATTCAATCTTCTCCTTTTCAAAAGAGCATTTCTTTTTGTTTGCAAACAGCTTCTGGTCAGCTAGCACTTGCAAAACCAACTTCAAATGCTTCAAGTGTTCTTCTCTACTCCTGTTGTACACCAAGATGTCATCAAAGAAAACCAAACAGAATTTTCTTAGGAAGGGCCTCAACACTTCATTCACCAAAGCTTGAAATGTTGAAGGAGCATTAGTTAACCCAAAAGACATCACTAAGTATTCATAGTGACCTTCATGGGTTATAAATGTTGTCTTAGCTATGTCTCCCTCATTCATCCTAATTTGATGATAGCCTGATTTCAAATCCAGTTTGGAAAAAATCATAGCTCCCCCCAAGTCATCCAATAATTCCTCAATGATAGGTATATGGAACTTGTTGGGTATAGTCACCTTGTTTAAGGCCCTATAATCAGTGTAAAATATCCATCCACCATCTTTTTTTTCCTAATAGAACAGGGATGGAGAAGGGATTGGTGATATGCTTGATAATTCCTGCTTGAAGCATTTCTCTTACTATCTTCTCAATCTCATTCTTCTGGTAAAAGGGGGTACCTATAAGACCTCAAATTAGGAATAGTAGCTACAGGTTTGAGGGTAATTGCATGGTCATGCTCCCTTATAGGAGAAAGTCCAGCTGGTAGACTAAACACCTCCTTGAAGGAACTCAACAGCTCTTCCCAACCATCATCCTCCATTGGATGGTTCACCACCTCTGCCCCCTTTGAATGAACAAAAAATTCTACACCTTCATCACTAAAGGCCTTAAGCATGGCTTTCCATGATGTTTGTCTGGTGCATAGAGTTGGATCTCCCTTGATACTATACTTTTGTCCATCTTTTTCCCACTTCAAACTGAGTTCTCCAAAATTAACTGCAATATTCCCTAAACTTGCCAACCAATCCATCTCTAACACCATGTCTGTCCCTCCCAACTTCATGAAGAAGAAATGTTGGCTAAACTCCACTCCTTGTACAAGGAATTTCAACCCTTCACAAATCCCTTGGTTGGTAACTCTTTTTCCATTTCCCACTTCTATTACATAGGTTGGAGTTTCAACTACATTCACAGCTAATTCAACCACAATATTGGGGTCAATAAAGTTGCTAGTAGCTCTAAAACCAATCAAAGTTAGCAGATCTCTACCCTCCACAGGCACCCACACTTTGAAAGATTTGTTTAAAGTAAACCCCTCTTTACTTTGCATGGGCAGTTGCGAAGTCTTAAATTCCTCCCCTTTTTCCCCTCACTCTTCTGTTTGTATCCTTATCCCTCTTATTTCCTCCTTCTCACTACTGTTTTCACACAATTTCAAACTCATGTGTTTGAATTTGCAAAGGTGCTCTCTATTCCACTTATCCCCGCATTTGAAACAAAGCCCTTTCTTACTCCTTTCTTCTAATTCTGCGGGATCCAATTTCTTGCCCTTATACTTCTCATTTCCTCCACAACTTACCCTTTCACCCTCCTTCCTATGCCCTCCCATATCTCCAGGATCCTTGATCCTCATATTTCCTCCCCTTTCTCTCCAAGAACTACCTTTCTTTTGCACTACTTCATTCTTTTCTTCAATGAGCAGAGCTTTATCCATCAATTCAGCCAAATCTTGGCTCTCATGGAGCTTCAATTCAGCTTGAATCTCTTCTTTCAAACCATTCAGAAAATAGAGTCCAGCATGACTCTTTCTTCCCTCCTTAATGGTGCTACCATCATCTCAAACTTCTCCCTATATTCCACCACTGACCCTTTTTGTTTCAAACTCAGCAAGGGTCCTAAAGGATTGTGTAAGAGCCCAGGTTGGAATCTTCGCATCACATGTATTTTAAACTCCTCCCACGTCCTCAAGGATGCTTGTTCCTCCCACCATTAATACCAATTTAGAGTTCTTTCCTCCATTGCCAACACTACCGCATCTAGCTTGTCTTGGATCCTCACTCCATTCAAGTGAAAGTACCTTTCGATGCGTACTAGTCACCCATACGCGTTGTCTCCCTTGAAAACTGGAACTTCCACCCTTCGATGACCTCCAACAAACCGAGAATGACCTTCACCACCATGACGACGATGGTGTGGTCGCGATTCTCTTGAGATAGTACTTCGTTCACTTCATTTGTCCCTTTCCTCTTCATCGCCACCACGAAGACGGTGTCTCTGGTGTCTTGCATGATTACGAACAGAGCTCTCTTTAATCAGCTGGCGAATCTCCTCCATTGTGACCTGCGGCCGTGACTGTTGGTCCATCACCAGCTGTCGGATCTAGTCCATCACCAGCTCTCGGATCTGGTCTATCGTGACCTCAAAATTGCTCATCCTTTGTTCTATGGCTTCTACTCTGTTTTCCATGGTGCTTCTTGTAACAACCATCCACTTACGCAGGCAAAATCAAGGCTCTTACCAAATTGATAGGATCAATTTAGTATCTAAAAGTAGAAACAGCAAATAAACAAGAGAAATAGCATAAATAAACAATAATCAGTATGAAAGTTATGAACTTTATTGAAAAGGACTAGAGATCAAACGGGATCTAGTCATTAAAAGAAGAACAGAAATTTTGCAGAAAAGTAAGAAAAAGATAAAGAGACTCTTCGAGAGGCCTAGTCTCTCCCAATAGGATCTTATCCACTAAATTCTGCATAACTTGAATGGTGTCAGTCACCATCATTTATTTGGCAATCCCTAGATTCTCTCTCCACTCACCAAATGCCAGTTGTCCAACCCATATGCTACTACAGCTAGCATAATTATACTATTCTATTACTCTATCTCTCTCTCTTCCTTTCTTATGTTTCCTTTGATAGACTTTGTCATATCTACCACATATCCAATAGGTACCCAATATGTACCATCTGGGTACAGACTTTAAAAAAAAAATTAAAAAATAAATAGTGTTGGTACGTACACGTACCCGTACTTTGCCTAAAATAGAGTTTCTATGCTTAGAATAATGAGAAAGTAAAACCACAAGAGACTCCAACTCACTAACCTCTCGTGATTATGCAAGTTAAAGAAAAAGTGAAAATTTGAAGAGAAAATAGATAGAAATGATGAGTGAAACTTGGACAAAGGGTATTAAGTAGACTGTAAAAGAATATATGAAAAGTCATGGAAAGAGAAAAGGTCTTAAATAAATACTCTCCCGGAATTTAATTTGAGAACAAGTGAGAAAAGTTCAACTTCTTTTAGACCTCCACTCAAGAACGTGAGGTCTAAAATGTAGTTGAAATATGACAGACAGACTTCCAGCTTTCCAAGGACTAACATAACAAGGACAATCAAAGAATTTGCATGATACAAACCAAACATTCATTGAGTAACTTGATCCCGTACAAAAATGCCAATGCTATTAGCCTCCCAAGGATGTCAAGCTATGTAGCTCCGACACTTCAGACTAAAGTTGTATCTGGCATCCCACACCAACACCCCAAACTAAAGTTGTATCTGGTATCCCACACCAACACCTGAATATTCAATCACTTTCATGTTCTCAAATTTTATGCAGGGTCAATGTAACTTGTCTGGTGTCCTGTTAACTATGTTATCGATTGATAGATGTTAAATGACCGAGACCATCATCGTCAAACTCGCAAATCACGAGTAAACAAACTGATGGGAGGCAACTAAGGATAAGGGTATTATGGACAAACCTAAGATAAGGAGGGTTTATGAAAGGAAGGCTAAGAAGACTAGTGGGTCAGTGATGAAAGGCTGTGATTAAATTGTTTCTGTTAGGGCCAGAAAATAAAATATTGTGTTGGAGTTTGGCTTTTGGAGTAGTTAGAGAAACCGTTTTCTACTATTATCAATCAATAAGACATTTTCCATCAATTTTTCTTGTTCATCTATACTTATCTATGTGCATTCTCTGTTTCCGATCCTCCATCTACATTGGCTGAACTCGTGTAGTTTTTGCACAAACCGGGTTGAAGCCAATTCAGCCGACACACGACAGTGAAGTTTCATGAAAAGGCTTATGCATTTTTGCTCATTGACGAGTCACTAAAGTTCCCTACGAAACAAAGTTGTAAGCCCATTTGGCGTAGGGAACTTTTCTATGCTCGAGAGCTCGTGCCACATCGTGTGTGTCCAACACCAAGAGTTAATGGTTGGAATTCTTTAGGGTTCGTTAGTTGTAAATGAATATAATTACTGCTAAATATTCTGGAATTTTCATCCACCCAAATACACCAAACTTGGGAAAATCATTGTAATGAGTCAGGAAAAGTTCTTTCTAATTAAATGTTCTAGAATCTTGATTAAAAAAAGAGGAATGCTATTTTGACACTGCTTTTGTGACACCCAGTACATACACCGTAGCTTTTTAGCTTAATTTTGCATTGACACAGTTTTCAATTTCAATAAATATAATAAACAAAAGATAAAAAGTACTCTCTTACCGTATAGATATACGGTGTATATGTCAAACGGGTGTAAATATATTATTTCTCTTAAAAAAAACATAATTTACATTTAGAATACGGATACAAGGTTGTATCTTCTTTAAGGCGTTTATTTTTCTGCGAAACAAGCCACTTGTTACCTAATAAACTTTACATGATAATGGAACTATGTCTAGAATAGATAAATGAATTGGAAAGGGATTAGAATTACATGATGCAACCTGCAAGATCAGTCTTGGTGAATGTTTTGTATAGCTGCACTGATACTTTTAAAATCATATTCCATGATCTTCATCCAATTCTCGAAGTCTCCAATTTCCTATGAGTTCAAGTGAATGTTAACTAAAGTTATGCACATTTTTACAAAACAAATAACAAATTAAGCACAGTCTGCAGCATAGTGATCACTTGCTTGGATCATTAATGCACTACTGAGAAAAAAAACACCACATACAGACTATAATATGATAATATGTGCAAAATTCAATAAGACGACACTGCAAATTAATATTCTATGTATCTACAATTTTATTCTTGCTCATATGGTTGTGTAGAAGGAATCTCTCAAAATAAAGGATCCTTGATAATAAACAATGTATCTGTGTTACTGAGGCACAAGATCGATGCCTATTTCTATTATTCTTCCTGCATCATCCTTGAAAATTCAACAACCTTAAGCACATTAACATGAACATGTGTACAGGGAATTGAACTAAAATCCTATAGTTTTTCTTATGTCGGAGAATGATAAGAGAGACCAACAAAATTGTGATATCAATATAAATCACAATGAATATTTGAAGAGAAGAAATCACTTTGCTTTATCTATCGACCCAATTGAAATCCCAGTCCATTCAAGAATGCAGGCATGTAAAATCACGGCTTTAAATGTGCGCCATAATTTGCAACAAACAACAACAATAACAATTTACAAACCAAATTCACTACAATAACCCAATAATGGCACAACAACAATCATAATAAAAATTGTTTTTGTTACATTTTCTTTTTTATCCACACAGCTATCTTAGGTGAAATTCACATGTATTCTCCTTCCAGAAGCAACCATGTTCAAGGCCTACAAAGCAACAGCAATAAACCTCTTCTCAGGGAATTTATTTTGGAGAAAGGATCTAACTAGGGACCTCTCACTATAGAATATATCTTTACACATTCTCAAACCTAACATACTTCGACTCGGCGGTTTTAAAAGAGGGTTTGTCGGCATGATTTCGGCACTGACGTTAAGATTTTTGGTGCCACCGCAACAACAATTGAGATTGTATCAACCACACTTGACTGTGATTCTCTGTAATATCAAAGTTCACAACCGTGACAAGTATTGTAATTTGCAACTGCTAATAAAAAAACCTTATTTTGACTAGGCTTACACATTTGGTTATCCACAAAATAATTATCCTAGAACATTATTGAAATGGTTGAGAGCCCGGCATTAGATGAGATATCACCTGAAAATGTCTATATAAATGTGAGACACCCCTTACATTTAAAATCAGTTTTGTAGAGTTGAATTAACCTCAACCCAAATTTTAAACTAGTATGAGAAATTATCTAAGATCTGTTTAGCCACCTTCTATAAACCACTTGGGCCATGCTTCAAAAAACCATTTATGGGCGTCAAACAATGTGTTGATAGTCCCGCATTGCACGAGATACCACAACAACCAAGTCGTATCTCCACAAGTGGGGTCAGGCGGTCGGCTACATGGATCAAATGACGTCATAACATTCTATCAAATACCAACACTTCTACCCGACTCATTAATCTCAAGATCTTTTTTAATACTTTCTCTAATAGTTTTTCTAAGTATTTCTCTACCTCTAGCGGTTTAACTACCCTCCATCTGATCAACTTTCCTTACTACATACCTCACGTGTCTTCTCTCTCCATGTCCAAACCGCATAACTCTAGTTTCCACCAACTTTTCTACTACATGTATTACTCTAATACTCTCTAATTTTGTCATTTCAAATCTTAAATCTTATAATACACCAACACAACATTCACAGTACCTTGATAGCTGTGTTGAGAGAATGAGTAGCATTAAGCCACTGATCCGTTTGTTTGGTAAACCTAGTAATCGTAACCGCAAGAGCACGAATTTCAAGCTCAATTCGCTTTTGGTAAACGAAAGAATTTTGAACACCGCCATTCACAGCTTCCACCAACAGATCCGAAACGCGTTCCGCTTTCTTAATTGCATCTTTCTTCGATTTCTCTGCTTTCAACAAAACACAATACCCAAATTAAAAAATGAACACTATGAATATAAAAAATCGAACTTTGAAAGAAGAAATGTGAAAAAAAAACCGGATTGATTGGCGAGTATGAGAGACTTGTGATGGTGAAGTTGAATCAAATTTTGTAATGAAGCTTCCAATCCCTTTGAATCTGCGTCCATTTTAGCGTCGCGTTCTTCCATTCACATATGTTTTCAATGTAGAGTATATTTCTTTGAATTGAATTTCAAGGAATTTAAAAAAATATTATGATCTAAAAAGTATATACAATAAATATGTTTAAAATATTTTTTAAATTTCCAAGATTTGAAAAGACTATTATCTATTTTTTTTTATCAAAATTAAATAAATAAACAGAAAGATAATAAATAGTTTTTAAAACTACTATAAATATTTTTAAAATGTGATACTAACTTATGTCTCGATGGCAAAAGCAATCTAAAAAACAAAAGTCTGTGTAGAAAAAATTAATTATCAATTTTTAATAAAATCAATGCAAAAAAAGTTTATATTTAGTTTTTAGAACACAGGTTAGTATTATATTAAAATTTTAAATAATAAAATGATTATTTTTAAAAATAATAATAAAGTAGTTTTAACTTTCCTCCTTATATGTACTATTTAGGGGGTGTTTATTGTTGTAAGTCGATTTGCAAATCCGTAGACTCAAATCGAATCAACTCATAAATTATCCAGACACATTCATTTACGGATATATCCAATTCAACTCTTAAAAACTCGTATAGTTTTGATTAGGACATCGGGTTCGAGTTTTGCAACCCGCAGGTCTGTTGACTCAACTCATTGATGTGACTTTAGTAATTTATTATTACTTTTATTATCATTTTAAATAAAAATATAAAACTAATATCTCACTAATAATCATAATTTTTTTTTTAAAGTATTCTTCATCACTGGACAAATGAGTTTACGTAATTCTAAGATTAAATATTATTTCTTATGTATTTTATTAAAATAGCGTGTCTTGTTGAATTTTATATTATTATCACGTGTTATGTCATGTTGATGAATTTTATTAGATATTATATGATGTGTTTCATCATATTTTAATGTTATAAATGAGTATGATTGTATTGAGTTGTGTTACATTTTTTTTAAACGAGCAAAAAGAATAATAACAAAATATTTTTTATTTGAAACACAACCTGTGAATCCAACTTAACTCAACCCATAAATAAATGGGTCGGTTTTGACAATTAAATTGTAGATTGGGCGAAGAACTCAATTAATTGAAGTTTGAACGGGGTAGACCAAAACTAGTCCAACTCAACCCATATATCGATTTTTTTATAAATCGATTTAGACTTTTTATATGTATTAAAAGAAAAGTAACTATTTTGTATGAAAAAAGACAAATTATGGAAGATTTTATAATATTATTTTTTATTAATGATATGAGAAAGATAAATTTAAATAGTTAAAAGAATAGATGATAATAAATATTTAAAAATATAACAGAAAAAAACAATATTAATTATTTTTGATATTATAAAATGACTTAGTGCATAAAAATTTCTTTAAAGTGACTTATAAAAAAAAGTAGAGAGAGTAACATTTTAGATGTATTGTGTATACTTTAATTGTTCTAAATACATGTGTTAAGATGAGTTTTAAAAGAAACTATTAAAAATGTATTTGATATTAATCTCCATTTATGATAATGTATTTTGAGATGATAATTATATATTTGCTTAAAGTTCGTTAAAATAATTCTCAATTGATAAATTAATTTTTTTAATATTAAGAAAAGATATAAGATAATTAAAATGTGAATTAGATTTTCAAATTAATAATTTAAAATAATTATTATCTTTTCATTCTGATTCTTATACAAATTAATGTAAATTTGAAGTTCAAAAGATAATTCATTTGCAAACTTTACTTGGGATAATTTTATTGGATCTTAAGAAGGAAGGTCAATGATTAGACAATCCAAACGAATTGCCTTAATATTGGGCAAACACACTGCACAGGATGGCAGGTCGCCCTTTACCGGGCACAAGGTCGCTTAAAATGGGGCGAAAGGCCACCCATTGGGCTTGAACAACTCGAATTGATTCATCCACTTATCTTACGTGGTTAGCAAGGTATATAAGTAGTAACTGGCTAGAGGAAAGGTTCAAGTAGACATAGTCATATCTCCATGATTATATGAAGGACTTTGTCTTCCTCAATTGAAAAGACTCATTTTACACATCTCGCGTACATTGATTTTTTGTCAATCGAGATGTTGACTGACTTAGTATTTTCATTTATCGTTCATTTTGTATTTTTGATTAAGTGTATATTACGATCAATCCAAAAAGCATATAATTTTGTAAATTTCACTATGCCAATCGATTTTTATCAAACTTTGATTTTAAAAAGGTAAACTTTTTAAACCACTCTTTTTGGGAAAGGTTTATTGAAGCATTCCTTTTAGACTATTTGAGCCTATATTCTGCCCCTAACATAATGGACATCAAATAAAGAAAAGGATGAGAAATGTTTTTCTTGAATATTTACTCCATGTTTTGAAGAATGAAGAACAAATTGATGAAGAACGTGAAAAAAATCAGGTCCTTGGACCGGACTATGAGTTCTTGTGTCAACATTCCTCACTTCATTCCCGATAGTAAGGACTTAAGGAACAATTGTTTTGAGCTTCCCATTGGTTGATAAGACTGGCCTAATCCAACCAACATGTCCATTAGAGAATGAACGTATGTACCTTCACAATGGGATAACATGACAGTACGACTCATATCCTTATCTCCATAGTTGATTTGTATCCAACTGTCGCACGTAAACCACATCAATAACAACTACAGAAAGGAAATTTAACCACGGTTGGGAGAAGGATATTAGCACTGGTGGAGGTCCGTGGAAAAGTAAGGTGTGGTAGTTAGTAAGCTATTTACTACCACGAACTAGAACCCGTGGTAAAAACACGGTAACACTTTACGTATCACCATGATTTCTTATGATAACTGTAGTAAAAAGTAGAGATCATAGGTTCGACTCTCAGGCCATCAATTTGTTTTTTTTTTTACTTTTTACCACAATTATGCTTTCTAACTGTAGTGAAAGAATCTGCGCATAACTTTTCACTACGGTTGTATCTTACAACTGTAGTGATATGTTCATTTGAGTTTATTATAACACATGTGGAATGTTTATTTCACCAACTACTCACTAAACATATAACCTTTTAATCTGATATAGAATTTAATAATTGGAAAAATTAAGTTATATTAGAATAACAAGTTACAATGATTAATGTTTTCCTAGCTTTGTTTCATTCGTTCTTCGTATCTCGCTTTTTGAGTGTTAGAATTAGGTCTAATGCTTGTGACTCTTCAACCTACACTTCATTATCTACTAGTTCGTTGAACTAGTAAAGAAGAAAGTGTTGATTGAAGAAATACAAGCATTAAACTAAATTCTAACTCTCAAAGAGGGAGATACGTAGAATGCAAGGAAGAAAGCTCGAAAAACATTGATAAATGTAAGTTGTTTTCTAACATAACTTAATTTTTAATATTATAAATTTTTAATTCAGTTATAAAGGTTATTTAGTTAGTGATGAGTTGGTAAAATACTCAAACCACGTATGACATAATAAACTCATCTTATAGCACATGTTGGTTCAACATAGTGAAAGTTTCAATGTACAAGGTATATCATTCAAAATCAACAACATATAAATCATCATCAACAACAAAACTTAAACAAAATATAACATATATCAACAAAAACTAAATCATCAACAACATACGACTTTTATCAACAACATACCTTAAATAACATACAACATATATCAACAAATACAAAATCATCAACAACATACAACTTTTATCAACGAAAACATGTCTTAAACAACATATAACATATATCAACAAAAACTAAATCATCACTAACATACAACTTTTATCAACAACAACATGCCTTAAATAACATATAACATATATCAATAAACACAAAATCATCAATAACATACAACTTTTATCAACAACATACCTTAAACAATATATAACATATATCAACAAAACCTAAATCGTCAACAACATATAACTTTTACCAACAACAACATACCTTAAACACCATACAACATATATCAACAAACAAAAAATTATCAACAACATACAAATTTCATCAACAATAACATACCTTAAACAACATACAACACATATCAACAAAAACTAAATCATAAACATCATATAACTTTTATCAACAACAACATACCTTAAACAACATACAACATATAATGTATAACAATAAAAGGAAAATCAACGACAAAATAAAATATGGAAAAGTCTCACGTACCTGAAATGTGATGAGGAAGTAAAAAGAGTTAGTTTTGTGTAATGTCTTTCCTTGATCCATAAGAGATGAAGAAGATATGTTAATGTTTTGTGAAGAAGTGGTATAGATCGTTCATGGCATAAGGAAAAGACGTGAGAGAGAGTTAGGGTTTTGTTTTGAGAGAGACAATTGTTATGTCCTGAAAGAGTAAACTTTCGCTTAAATATATGTTACATTTTTCACCATGGTTGCTTAAAACGGTCGTGATAAAATGTAGACACTTTTCACAATGGTTGCTACTTTAGATTGTGGTGAAAGGTAATTTATTTCTAATATAAGTATTAACATTATAAGTGAAACACTCATATATGTAAAAAAAAAAATTGATCGTGCTGGGAATCAAAGCTTGTAAGCCTTAACATATTATTATGGTTATTACTATGAACCGTAGTAAAAAGTATTTTAGTAAAATAAATAAAAATAAGGCACCTTAATATGAGTTATTACCTCAGTTGGTTTAATAGTCGTGGTAATAGCATGTTATGTTAAGTTTATTTTGTAGTAGGGAGGCCAGCTTTGAACAGTTATAATTGTCTCTTTTATATAAGTATAATACTAAGTCACACTCAAGTATTACTTTCATTCGCACTTGCATTGTTTCACCTCTCTTGCATAGTTTCTCACTTTAACCATTGTGTCAAAAGCTTTTCCACAACAGTTATATTCAACCTATCATTCATTCTCTATTTTAGTATGAACTAGTTTTCAAGTTGCATTAAACCATGAAGAGATGATGAAAGGAAAAGAAATGAATTTTTTTATAGGTTTGTTGATGATTATCTTGGAGTTTTCCATAAACCATTGAATTAATTGTAAC